GGTGTTTCGTTCAACAACGATGTGGAGCTTAAAAGGTCGCTTGAATTTTTCCAGTCAAAATCTAGGGATTTATATTGACGAGGTATTGAGTTAGTGGATCGTTTGCAGGAGGTTTTAAACAATGAAAGGGGAATAAATTCTTAAATGATTCATCAGAACTATTAATAAATAAAAGTTATCAAAATAAACCGTTGCCTTGGGCTTGCAGAGTGGAAATAATTTATCATTCACAGGGTTGCGAAGTCGTTTGCTTTCTAACAATTTGAGGTGGGTCTTTCGCTAACTTGAACAAACCAATTAAAGTGCTCGTTGGGAAGTTCTGTCACATCCATAATATTTTACTAATGTAGACTATCAGACTATCAACAGACTATGGAGCTGAACATTATTTTTATGTTTAGATGCATTTAAACTGATCAAATTTTATTTCAGAGAACAATAAAATTAAATTTTGTTTGATTAAAACCCTGCTAACATGGAAGTACCCAAGAATCATTTGAGGCACATAATGCTTTATGAGTACAAGAAAGGAAACTCAGCAGCCGAAGCGGCTAGAAACATTCACTCAGTTTATGGAGAGGAATGTGTGAATGAAAGAACTTGCAGAAGATGGTTTGCAAAATTCAGAGGTGGAGATTTCACCCTTGAAGATGAAGATCGAACCGGACGTCCAGTTGAGTTTGATGAAAAGCTTCTTGAAGCAGCCCTTGAAGAAAATCCTGCTTTATCAGTTGAGGAATTGGCAGTGGTTCTCAGTTCAAACCATACAACTGTTCATCGTCATCTTCAACAACTTGGAAACGTTCCTAAACTTGGAAAATGGGTGCCTCATGAATTATCTGAAAACAACCTCAAATCCCGAGTTGACATCTGCTCTTCTCTCCATTCTCGCCAACTTGTTTCACCTTTTTTGGATAGACTTGTGACTGGCGACGAAAAATGGATCTTTTATCGAAATGTTAAGCGTCGTAGACAGTGGCTTGGTAAAGGGGAAGGACCCCGGCCAAAAAGACCTGCTCTAATGAATCGAAAAGAGGTGATGTTTCATCAGGACAATGCGCGACCCCACACAGCAAGAATCACATCACAAAAAATCGAAGAACTTGATTGGGAGAAAATTCCTCATCCACCTTATTCTCCCGATATTGCTCCTTCAGACTACCATTTGTTTCGTAGCTTACAGAATCATTTGGAAGAAACAGCTTTTGTAACACAGGAAGAAGTTAAAACTGACATTTGTGAGTTCTTCGAATCAAAGCCAAACGAATTTTACAGTAATTGAATTAGTAAGCTTGTTAATAGACAATAGAAGGAAAAAGAAAAAAGAAAAAGAAAACAATAGAAGGAAAAAGAAGGAGAAAAAGAAAGAGAAAACAATAGAAGGAAAAAGAAAGAGAAAACAATAGAAGGAAAAAGAAAGAGAAAAAGAAAGAGAAAACAATAGAAGGAAAAAGAAAAAGAAAGAGAAAACAATAGAAGGAAAAAGAAAAAGAAAGAGAAAACAATAGAAGGAAAAAGAAAAAGAATTTTACAGTAATGGAATTAGTAAGCTTGTTAATAGATGGAAGGAAGTCATAGATAATCAGGGAAAATACATTATTGATTGAATCTGTAATCAAATGTAACATTTGGTCACTTGTTTTCTTTATTCAAAATTCGGACAGAACTTATGGGATGACTTGATATAAATAAAATTTGATCAAAACGTTTTATTTCCATCCATAAATGTAAAAAAAAAAAACTACACATCATTAAATTTCTAAATAATGAAAAATTATTAAACCATAGGCATTAACGGTTTTTTGCCGACATCAACAAACTTTCGCATTAAATAATTAGCATAAAAAAATCCCATAGCTAAATAAAAGTCTTAAAAGCTTAGCCAAATCATTAAAGACGAAAAACCCTTTCTGTAGTCGTCAAAAAACAAAAAAGAAAACAAATTGAAATTCAGTGCAATACGATTTGTATATAAAACACCCACTTGAATAAACAAATAAATAAATAGATAATCAGATGGACAATAATAAAAGACAATTCCCCAGATACATAACGACTTGTAATCACGCCATAAAAATTGCCTCACTGGGAACCAACTAAAGGGTGACCGCAAATATTAGTCTTGAAATAGATACCCTACCCAACCTTAGCAAAACCTCTCAGAAGATGATGAATCTATTGATAAGAATTAACTCTCTGACCACTTAACGAAGGAAAATAGTCTAGCCACTCCCACAATAACGAATTTTGTAACGGACCATGCCTAAAAACACACGTAAACCGAGAGATAGCTTATTCCTAAAATTTCGCTTGAAGATGAAACGGGACTAAACACCAAAATTCAACTTAATTTTAATAATTATTTGGATGGTTTCGGCTCTCGTTTTTGAAACATGAGAACTCTTATGTAGCGAAGGAATTATATTTTAAACAAAAAATATATATATATATATATATATATATATATATATATATATATATATATATATATATATTAAATAAATTATTTCACCACAGCCTTATTTCATAGAAAATCCCCAAAATTTAAAAAAAAAATTAAATCACTTACAAACATCAAATTAAATCCTTTGTAGACAGTTTAGAGACATTCAAATTTATATCAAACATTATAATCTTTATGAACCCCCAAATTAACACTTTCAAAGTAAAACAAAATAACAGCGTCTGTTTCTAGCCTTTTTTTACAAAGAAAATTAGTGACATCTTCTCTCTTAACTTCCTTCCCCCTTTTTTTCTCTCTATGGGTTTTTTCTTCTCTACCTCTTCGATATCAATATATAACTTCCGTTAAGTTAACCGTTTAAATGTGTCAATATCTGCTAACTCGCTCATGTCTTCTGTCTTCCCCCTCACTTCGTTAATTTACATATGCCCGTCAAAAATATGTAAATTTTCTTTTCATTTTTGTTTGGAAGTAAAGTCTGATGATCCGCAGTCCTTTTAAAAGGGCTGTGGTGAAATTTATTTATTACATGGAACCTTAAAGTGGTCTGTTTTCATTTAATCTTTTTGCTCTGGATTTACATTGAGCTCTCTGGAATTTATCCTCCTTAGGTTTACCCATACTGATTACCTAGTTTTTCATAAACTATATATATATATATATATATATATATATATATATATATATATATATATATATATATATATTCCAGGACCATTTTTCCTTAATCTTCGCCCTTTCTAATCTGATTTTCTGTTTTGGAGTAACAAGTTGCCTCACACGTTTCACATACCATTTCATTTTCAAGTCTTTTTCACTGCTCTTTGGACTGTCATAGCTGAAACTTCTCTCACACGTGCCAAATGCCTCACGGATTGAGTTGGATCTTTTCTAGTTGATCTCTTTAGCTTTAAGTTGAAATGATAATTCCTCTTGCTGGTCCAATTTTTCTCTCTCCTGTTCCTTTTTTTTTAACTTATTCACCGTTCTTTTGATGGTTCTTGAATGGACTTTGAAGATAGAAGCCAGAGTATTAATGTTGGCGACAATTACCGAAGGCCTGAATGATCGTTTTCCTCTCACTATTGCTCAGTTGGGAAGACAGTTGGACTGACACAAAACGATATCATCATGTTCTCTTTCTACCTAAATAACTGAAAGAATTGTTCAGTGATCCTCACGAGTAATAGTGTCCAGATAGCAAATCGTCTTATCTGAAAACGTGCAAAAAAGAAACTCAGTTTATTTATTTATTTGGGGGGGGGACAGTTATGTTGTCACACGATTCGGACAATTTTGCTGTTACACCCGGGATTTTTATCAATTAATTCTACAGGAAGAAGTTCTGTAGTCCGGCCTTCTTTTGAGGGCCAACATCTTTAGAGTATTGTTCAACAATATAAGCCCTGAGAGCCAATCAAGATAGAGGTTTAGTGAATGGTTATTTTAAGACCGTAAATAGAGGGAGGGTGAAATGTAGAATAGATAAAAGTTGGCCCTAGACGTGATAAGGTTAAGATTGTGAAGCATCCACTCGGGAGTTTGTTCCACAAAGTAACCCTTTCTTCTCGTTTAATATCAGCGGTACTAGCAATCCAATCTTGTAAACGTTCTAGCCCAGTTGTCTGGTTTTCTTTTAAACTGACCACCGTTTGATTAAAAGGTTTTATTTCTATCTACCATGAACTGCTATGCAATATCTAATCTCCTAAAAAGCAGTGAACGCTGGACTCATCACAGATGAAGAAGAGATTTGGAGCGACGTGGTTCTGTAGATGAATACTGGGAATAATATAGAGAGAACACGTAAGCCATGAAGAAGTCTTTAAACAAATCGAAACATCAACTTAAACCCATAAAGAGTTTTTAAAATGTCTGGGATACAAAGTGAGGAAAGAAAACTTGGAGAATTTAATACCCAAAGGACATATTGAAACAAAAGAAAACAGCGTGTAACATATTTAAAGAGTTTGTGTAAAACGCAATGAAAACGGAGACAAACAGAGAAAGTGACATCGAGCAACAAAAGATAGGATGTTGTGGAGAGCTGTGATCGTTTACATGTTTTCATTCATTATTTTCCTCACATATCTTTTCTCATTCCTTCCTATTTTTTCTCATTCTTTTCCTTCACTTTCAATTTTTCATTCTTTCCCTATTATTATCAAGTGACATCGAGCAACAAAAGATAGGATGTTGTGGAGAGCTGTGATCGTTTACATGTTTTCATTCATTATTTTCCTTCACTTATCTTTTCTCATTCCTTCCTATTTTTCTCATTCTTTTCCTTCACTTTCAATTTTTCATTCTTTCCTACTATTATCAAGTGATATCGAGCAACAAAAGATAGGATGTTGTGGAGAGCTGTGATCGTTTACATGTTTTCATTCATTATTTTCCTCCACTTATCTTTTCTCATTCCTTCCTATTTTTCTCATTCTTTTCCTTCACTTTCAATTTTTCATTCTTTCCTATTATTATCAAGTGATATCGAGCAACAAAAGATAGGATGTTGTGGAGAGCTGTGATCGTTTACATGTTTTCATTCATTATTTTCCTTCACTTATCTTTTCTCATTCCTTCCTATTTTTCTCATTCTTTTCCTTCACTTTCAATTTTTCATTCTTTCCTACTATTATCAAGTGATATCGAGCAACAGAAGATAGGATGTTGTGGAGAGCTGTGATCGTTTACATGTTTTAGAGACTTGGTATATAATAGAAGACAGTGTCCGTTACGAATATTCTGTTTACTTTTCTTTGCATTGTTTAGATTTTTCGTTTTCTGACGAATGAGAATTTAAAGCATTTTTTAAATTTCTTTTCCTCCATTTCTTATTTTTCTTCTCTTTCATTTTTCTTATTCATTCTAATTTTTCTCATTCTTTGATTTCACTTTCATTTTTCACATTCCTTGCCATTTTTTCATTCATATCTTTCCCTTTCATTTTTCTCATTCTTTCCACTTTTCACCTCACTTTCCTTTTCTTTCATTTTTCTCATTATTTTCCTCCATATATCTTTTCTCATTCCTTCCTATTGTTCTCATTCTTTTCTTTCACTTTCAATTTTTCATTCCTTACTTTTCTCATTCTTTTCCAGGATTTTCAATGTTTCTCATTCATTCCTATTTTTCTCATTCTTTTCCTTCATTTTCATTGTTTTCTTTCATTCCTATTTTTATCATTCTTTTCCTTCACTTTCAATTTTTCATTCCTTACTATTTTTCTCATTCTTCTTCTGCATATTCAATTTTTTCATTCCTTCCTATTTTTCTCATTCTTTTCCTCCACATTTCATGTTTTTCATTCCTTTCTATCACTTTAATTTTTTCATTCCGTCATAATTATCTCATTTTCCTTCACTTTCATTTTTCACATTTCTTGCCATTTTTTCATTCATATCTTTCCCTTTCAGTTTTCTCATTCCTTCCTTTGTCTCATTCATTTTTCCCTTTTATTTTTCTCATTCTTTCCACTTTTCACCTCACTTTCCTTTTCTTTCATTTTTCTCATTATTTTCCTCCATATACCTTTTCTCATTCCTTCCTATTTTTCTCATTCTTTTCTTTCGCTTTCAATTTTTCATTCTTTCTTATTTTTCTCATTCATCCCTTTATTTTCATTGCTTTCATTCCTTCTTATTTTCTTATTCTTTTCCTTCACTTTCAATTTTTTATTCCTTCCTATTTTTCTCTTTATTTTCGTGCATATTCATTTTTTTCATTCCTTCCTATTTTTTCATTCCTTCCTGTTTTTCTCATTCATTTCCAGCATATTCATTTTTCATTCCTTCTCATTTTTCTCATTCATTTCCTGCATATTCATTTTTTTCATTCCTTCCTATTTCTTTCCTCCCTTCCTATTTTTCTCATTCTTTTCCTGCATATTCATTTTTTTCATTCCTTCCTATTTCTTTCATTCCATCCTGTTTTTCTCATTCATTTCCTGCATATTCATTTTTTTCATTCCTTCCTATTTCTTTCATTCCTTCCTATTTTTCTCATTCATTTCCTGCATATTCATTTTTTTCATTCCTTCCATTTTTTTCATCCCTTCCTATTTTTCTCATTCTTTTCCTGCATATTCATTTTTTTCATTCCTTCCTATTTCTTTCATTCCTTCCTATTTTTCTCATTCTTTTCCTGCATATTCATTTTTTTCATTCCTTCCTATTTCTTTCATTCCTTCCTATTTTTCTCATTCATTTCCTGCATATTCATTTTTTTCATTCCTTCCTATTTCTTTCATTCCTTCCTATTTTTCTCATTCTTTTCCTGCATATTCATTTTTTTCATTCCTTCCTATTTCTTTCATTCCTTCCTATTTTTCTCATTCTTTTCCTGCATATTCATTTTTTCATTCCTTCCCTATTTCTTTCTATTCCTTCCTATTTTTTCTCATTCATTTCCTGCATATTCATTTTTCATTCCTTCCTATTTCTTTTCCTCCTTCCTATTTTTCTCATTCTTTTCCTGCATATTCATTTTTTTTTCATTCCTTCCTATTTCTTTTCATTCCTTCCTATTTTTTCTCATTCATTTCCTGCATATTCATTTTTTTCATTCCTTCCTATTTATTTCATTCCTTCCTATTTTTCTCATTCTTTTCCTGCATATTCATTTTTTCCATTCCTTCCTATTTCTTTCATTCCTTCCTATTTTTCTCATTCTTTTCCTGCATATTCATTTTTTTCATTCCTTCCTATTTCTTTCATTCCTTCCTATTTTTCTCATTCTTTTCCTGCATATTCATTTTTTTCATTCCTTCCTATTTTTTCATTCCTTCCTATTTTTTCTCATTCATTTCCTGCATATTCATTTTTTCATTCCTTCCTATTTCTTTCATTCCTTCCTATTTTTCTCATTCATTTCCTGTATATTCATTTTTTTTCATTCCTTCCTATTCATTTTTCATTCCTTCCTATTTTTTCTCATTCTTTTTCCTGCATATTCATTTTTTTCATTCCTTCCTATTTCTTTTCATTCCTTCCTATTTTTCTCATTCTTTTCCTGCATATTCATTTTTTCATTCCTTCCTATTTCTTTCATTCCTTCCTATTTTTCTCATTCATTTCCTGTATATTCATTTTTTTTTCATTCCTTCCTATTTCTTTCATTCCTTCCTATTTTTCTCATTCTTTTCCTGCATATTCATTTTTTCATTCCTTCCTATTTCTTTCATTCCTTCCTATTTTTCTCTATTCATTTCCTGTATATTCATTTTTTTCATTCCTTCCTATTTTTTCTCATTCATTTCCTGCATATTTTTTTTTCATTCCTTCCTATTTCTTTCATTCCTTCCTATTTTTCTCATTCATTTCCTGCATATTCATTTTTTTCATTCCTTCCTATTTTTCTCATTCATTTCCTGCATATTCATTTTTTTCATTCCTTCCTATTTCTTTCATTCCTTCCTATTTTTCTCATTCATTTCCTGCATATTCATTTTTTCCATTCCTTCCTATTTCTTTCATTCCTTCCTATTTTTCTCATTCTTTTCCTGAATACTCATTTTTTTCATTCCTTCCTATTTCTTTCATTCCTTCCTATTTTTTCTCATTCTTTTCCTGCATATTCATTTTTTTTTTTATTCCTTCCTATTTCTTTTTTCATTCCTTCCTATTTTTTCTCATTCATTTTCCTGCATATTCATTTTTTTTTCATTCCTTCCTATTTCTTTCATTCCTTCCTATTTTTCTCATTCTTTTTCCTGCATATTCATTTTTTTCATTCCTTCCTATTTCTTTCATTCCTTCCTATTTTTTCTCATTCATTTCCTGCATATTCATTTTTTTCATTACTTCCTATTTTCTTTCATTCCTTCCTATTTTTTCATTCATTCTTTTCCTGCATATTCATTTTTGTCATTCCTTCCTATTTCTTTTCATTCCTTCCTATTTTTTCTCATTCTTTTTCCTGCATATTCATTTTTTCATTCCTTCCTATTTCTTTCATTCCTTCCTATTTTTCTCATTCTTTTCCTGCATATTCATTTTTTCATTCCTTCCTATTTCTTTCATTCCTTCCTATTTTTCTCATTCATTTTCCTGCATATTCATTTTTTTTCATTCCTTCCTATTTCTTTCATTCCTTCCTATTTTTTCTCATTCTTTTCCTGCATATTCATTTTTTTCATTCCTTCCCTATTTCTTTCATTCCTTCCTATTTTTTCTCATTCATTTCCTGCATATTCATTTTTTCATTCCTTCCTATTTCTTTCATTCCTTCCTATTTTTCTCATTCTTTTCCTGCATATTCATTTTTTTCATTCCTTCCTATTTCTTTTCATTCCTTCCTATTTTTCTAATTCATTTCCTGCATATTCATTTTTTCATTCCTTCCTATTTCTTTCTCCTTTTCTATTTTTTTCTCATTCATTTCCTGCATATTCATTTTTTTCATTCCTTCCTATTTCTTTTTCATTCCTTCCTATTTTTTCTCATTCATTTCCTGCATATTCATTTCTTTCATTCCTTCCTATTTATTTCATTCCTTCCTATTTTTCTCATTCTTTTCCTGCATATTCATTTTTTCCATTCCTTCCTATTTCTTTCATTCCTTCCTATTTTTCTCATTCTTTTCCTGCATATTCATTTTTTCATTCCTTCCTATTTCTTTCATTCCTTCCTATTTTTTCTCATTCTTTTCCTGCATATTCATTTTTTCATTCCTTCCTATTTCTTTCATTCCTTCCTATTTTTCTCATTCTTTTCCTGCATATTCATTTTTTTTTTTCCTTCCTTCCTATTTCTTTCATTCCTTCCTATTTTTGCTCATTCATTTCCTGCATATTCATTTTTTCATTCCTTCCTATTTCTTTCATTCCTTCCTATTTTTCTCATTCTTTTCCTGCATATTCATTTTTTCATTCCTTCCTATTTCTTTCATTCCTTCCTATTTTTTCTCATTCATTTCCTGCATATTCATTTTTTTCATTACTTCCTATTTCTTTCATTCCTTCCTATTTTCTCATTCTTTTTCCTGCATATTCATTTTTTGTCATTCCTTCCTATTTCTTTCATTCCTTCCTATTTTTCTCATTCTTTTCCTGCATATTCATTTTTTTCATTCCTTCCTATTTCTTTCATTCCTTCCTATTTTTCTCATTCATTTCCTGCATATTCATTTTTTTCATTCCTTCCTATTTCTTTCATTCCTTCCTATTTTTCTCATTCATTTTCCTGCATATTCATTTTTTTTCATTCCTTCCTATTTCTTTCATTCCTTCCTATTTTTTCTCATTCTTTTCCTGCATATTCATTTTTTTTCATTCCTTCCTATTTCTTTCATTTCCTTCCTATTTTTTCTCATTCATTTCCTGCATATTCATTTTTTCATTCCTTCCTATTTCTTTTTCATTCCTTCCTATTTTTCTCATTCTTTTCCTGCATATTCATTTTTTTCATTCCTTCCTATTTCTTTCATTCCTTCCTATTTTTCTAATTCATTTCCTGCATATTCATTTTTTTCATTCCTTCCTATTTCTTTCCTCCCTTTCTATTTTTCTCATTCATTTCCTGCATATTCATTTTTTTCATTCCTTCCTATTTCTTTCATTCCTTCCTATTTTTCTCATTCTTTTCCTGCATATTCATTTTTTTCATTCCTTCCTATTTTTCTCATTCTTTTCCTGCATATTCCATGTTTCTCATTCCTTCCTATTTTTCTCATTTTTTCCTTAACTTTCATTTTTTCATTCCGTCATAATTATCTCATTTTTTCCTTCACATTCATTTTTCATATTCCTTGCTATGTTTTCATTCTTTTCTTTTACTTTTAATTTTTCTCATTCCTTCCTATTTTTCTCGTTCATTTTTCCCTTTTATTTTTCTCATTACTTCCACTTTTTACATCACTTTTCTTTCATTTTTCTCTTTTTTCTTTCATATTCATTTTTTTCATTCCTTCTTATTTTTCTCCATCTTTTCCTCCACATTTCATGTTTCTCATTCCTTCGTATTTTTCTCATTCCTTTCCTTCACTTTCATGTTTCTCATTTTTTCTCTTTTTCCCTTTTCTTGTATTGATTCTTGCAAAGCAATTCCATTTTTCGCCTTTTATTTTAATTTCCCAATCAAAGCCATTTTCTTTCCGCTTGCTATTACTTTTTGTTGTCTTCATTTTTGAAAACCATTCCTCTCCAGAACTGAGGCCGGAACTAGTTATTAGATTTCCGTAATTCAAATAATTCCCTTTGGAACGACGACGCAGACGACCTTCTTTATGAGCGCGTTTTTGAAAACGCGTAGAACCGGAATGTCATACAATTTAATTTACATAAAATTAAATTTAATCCTCACAAATTTGCTTGAGGAAGAATGAAATTTTTATTCCTACGTTTTGCTTCTGTTCATAAAATTCGCTTTTTGAAAATGAAAATCTCAAACAATTTTGAGAATGTCTATTTATTTTTTTTTACTTTTCCTATAAAACGCTTTCATTGTCTCTTTTAATGTTTAATCTGCCCAATGGAAGACAGAAATCTATAATATCCACAGCATTATTTTAAATTTAAACGTCGATAATATATTTTAAAATAATAATAAAAATAATAATAATAATAAACACATGACATTATATAATTATCGGTTACGTAGCCTGGTGTCCAATTCATAGCAATTAGAGATTTCGTTGTTATGGTAACAGAAGTTATTAATAAATGGTAATAAATCTCATTCCCACGAAAGAAACGCTGAGAGTTACCTACTGCTCTATGATGATTTCCATGTCATACGATCATAACTTTCATTATCCCACCATCCATGACTTTTACACTGGGACCCGCCTGGCCCCCTACACAGGAATGAATCAATTTTCATTTCCTTTCGTATTCCTATAAGTCATTTTCTTTCGGATAACTCCCTTCCAAAAACTGATGTTTTATTGAACAGACATCCGGCACGATGTTTTCCCAATCACTAATGTCAAACGTTATCATTTCCTTTCGTAGTTCTATAGTAAGAAGTCAGTTCCAATCGGACAGTTCCTTCCCAAGAACTGCTGCTTTGTGGAACAGACTTCCGATAGGATGTTTTCCCAATCACTACAATCTTAACTTTTTCAAGTCTAGCGTCAAATGTTATCATTTCCTTTCGTAGTCCTATAGTAAGAAGTCAGTTTCTTTCGGATAGCTACTTCCAAAGAACTGCTGTTTTGTTAAACGCACTTCCGGTACAATGTTTTCCAAATCCTCTTCTTCATTGCCCTATTCAAAACGTTGGCCTTCATCAGGTGATTGGATCTCTGAGATGAGGTCATATGATTACTTGCATCATTTACATTATTCGGACTGTTATCCTCAGCTTCATTGCCATACTCACAACGTTTCGGCCATTGTACGCTCCTGCCTTCTTCAGGTGATTGGATCTCTGAGATGAGGTCATATGATTACTTGCATCATTTACATTATTCGGACTGTTATCCTCATCTTCATGGCCATATTCACAACGTTTTGGCAGTTGTAGGCTCCGACATTCTTCAGGTGATTGGATCTCTGAGATGAGGTATTATGATTACTTGCATCATTTACATTATTCGGACTGTTATCCTCATCTTCATTGCCATATTCACAACGTTTCGGGCATTGTACGCTCCGGCATTCTTCAGATTATTGGATTTCTTCAAGAACCGTTATCATTAGAATAAATATTTAATTATTGAAGAGCGGTGATGAGGCCGTAAAATGTTTTTTTTTTAAATATATTTTCATATTTGAAAATTTAAAATAATTTATTTTAGTTTTAAATTAATTTCATAGAAAAATCGTAATTACTTACGTAAAGTTGATGAAGTTATAGAATTAGTAAAATAGATTAGTAAGAAGTCAGTTTCTTTTGGATAGCTCCTTCCCAAGAACTGCTGCTTTGTGGAACAGACTTCCGGCACGATGTTTTCCCAATCACTACAATCTTGACCTCTTCAAGTCTAGGGTCAATCGTTATCATTTCCTTTCGTTTTCCTATTGTAAGAAGTCAGTTCCAATCGGATACTCCCTTCCCAAGTACTGCTGCTTTGTTGAACAGACTTCTGGCAGGATATTTTCCCAATCACTACAATCTTGACCTCTTCAAGTCTAGTCTTAACCTTTATCATTAGAATAAATATTTAATTATTGAAGAGGCCGTAAAATGTTTTTTTAAAAATATATTTTCATATTTGACAATTTAAAATAATTTATTTTAATTTTAAATTTCATTAATTTCATAGAAAAATTGTAATTACTTACGTAAAGTTGATGAAGTTATAGAATTACTAAAATAGATTTTTTCTCCGGGAGGGATTAATAAAAGAGAGACCGTCACCTTTGTCGTCAATATTAAAAAAGGCGTATAGGATGGCAAACAGGACATGAAACTACATCGTGAAATTTGAGAGAGACAAACATTATGAAAATTCTAGGTTATATCTCCTTGGTTGATAAGATTCCTGGTAAGAGGAGACGGGTCCATTTATCTGGTAATAATTGGTAAGACCAAAATTAAGGCGCCAATGGCTAACCCAATCGTGCGAACAATATATCTTACAGCAAAACAACACATTCATACGTACCTTTCTTACTACATTCACCATAATACCCCATTGTCTCTATGAAGATACTAACTAGTCCCCATATTTACAATTCAGTGTCTGTAGGTGGGAATAAAACAACAATTTTAAAAACTAGCTCCAATGAGTAGTTACAATATGAATACAAATTCAAAACTATTTACAAGAAACTAAAGATAATAATATGAGTAATAAAACCCCCCACAATCACTAAATGTGGCAGAAATATCACTTCACTGGCCGAAATCAACGCGGGACTATAATAGTATAAAACATTCATTCATCCCAAGCACACACACTGAGACGCACCCATTAAAACACAACAACAAATACGAAAAACCACTCACGCGAAACGAAAGGCGCCCAGCATCCACCAGCGAACTGACATCACTGACCACCTAACGAGGGAGGGGATGGGGAATTAAACTCAAAGAAAAATAGGGACAGAAATAAAAAGGGGGGGGGGCAATGGGCATACATACCCTAGCTAAGTTATCCGAAAAATTACCATCAAAGTATTTCTAGAAATGGCACAGAGAGGCAACTTTACGACGGTGGGAAAGTGACTGAAGCCGAGCAGCCAGATCAGGACTAATAATATTGCTGATTCTTCTTTGGATATTATTAAAGAGCTCCAGGAGTACCGAACAATATTCTAATATTCTAAGCATCGAGGAATCACGACAATCTTAACCTGTTCAAGACTATGGTTAATCATTATTTTTCCCTCTTATCCGCGTCCTTGGTAAGACGATAAACTACGTCCAGCAGCAACACTTCTAATCAGGAGGTTTTGAGGAGCGTGGAACCACCTCTTAATTGCTTGTGTTGGATGATAGCAACTGTTAGGGTCCCAGCTATGGTTAAATAGTTAACCCCCAAACTGGGGTCAAAACACTATGAAAGTGTAAAGGTAGCTTTTTAATGCCAGAAATACTTTATAAAAAAATTATTACCAGCAATCAATTTTTGAAGAAAAAAATAATATTACGAACAATATGTTTTTGAAAACAAAAACATTACCAGCTATACATTTGTGACGAAAGAATATTACCAGCATTACTTCTTTTGAAAAAAATTATTACCAGCAATACTTTTTGGGAAAAATTATTACCAGCAATACATTTTTGAAGGAAAAATATTAGCAGAAAAGATTTTTGACAAAACAAAATATTACCAGCAATAAAAAATGTTGTCGGCATTAAATAACCCATTGAGGTTGATATGCCATAAAACAAACCAAACCAAACTATCGCTATGAGTCCATTTCAAAATTTTCTTGGCATTAAATGACCCACTGAGGTTTTGATATGCCATAAAACAAAACAACCAACCAATCAACTAACCCACCTTTTATCCGCATAAACTGCCACTTTGTAAATTTCTAACACGAGCGGACCCTAATTACTTGGATATAGCCATTAATTTTGATAGTAGAAGATGTGTTGGCTTTCTTTGGATAGTTTTTCGTCTATTTATGCGAAAAGCAGAATTCCTTGTTTCATGCGTCAATGTGGTTCATTGAATCGGGAAAAATTCTCATGCAGAAAAGTGGAACCGATACAACTGCAAATTTACCAGTGTGGAATAAATTGTTTTATTCCAATATTCGTCTTCGTTACACATTCGAAATGCAATCAACAAAATGGCGCAAACAACGAGAAAACTGGAATTTACAGACACCGCGTAAAACCAATTTAGCGTCATCAGACGTCTGGTTGAAAGATACGTTTAAAGGTCAAAGGTGAACATTTTTATCCGATGCCGAATTCAATTCAATCAAAAGTGAAACCCGACTTTTTTTTCAGGGACGAAATAAAAAAACAAAAAGGTGGGCGCAGCGTTTGGAAGAATGTATAGCCACAAATTCTGACTACCTAGAAAAACGAACAAATTTTCATTCTGAGTAGAAATAATTTGTTTTGGTAGCATTTTTATTATTATCGTTAGAATACGGAGGAAAGAGAAATAAATTGACTTCATTTTGATGGCAGGAGCATTTCTTCTCTTTGATCCGAAATAAGCTCTTTAAGTTTATTTATATCTATATCTATCTATCTATATATATATATATATATATATATATATATATATATAAAGTCGTCAGATCTCCTTCTCTTTCCTCCTTCCTCACTCTATCTGTCTATTCATTATCTATCTATCTATCTATCTATCTATGTCTCCTACTAGATCTATCTATCTATCTATCTATCTATGTCTCCTACTAGATCTATCTATCTATCTATCTATCTATCTATGTCTCCTACTAGATCTATCTATCTATCTATCTATCTATCTATCTATGTCTCCTACTAGATCTATCTATCTATCTATCTATCTATCTATCTATGTCTCCTACTAGATCTATCTATCTATGTCTCCTACTAGATCTATCTATCTATCTATGTCTCCTACTAGATCTATCTATTTATCTATCTATCTATGTCTCCTACTAGATCTATCTATCTATCTATGTCTCCTACTAGATCTATCTATCTATCTATGTCTCCTACTAGATCTATCTATCTAAGTTTGTTAATTATCTATGTATCTATCTAAGTTTGTTAATTATCTATCTATGTGTCTATCTAAGTTTGTTAATTATCTATCTATCTAAGTTTGTTAATTATCTATCTATCTGTCTATCTAAGTTTGTTAATTATCTATCTATCTATCTATCTAAGTTTGTTAATTATCTATCTATCTATCTATTTATCTATCTATCTGTCCTTTTCAGTGTGTTCATTGTCTCCCTCTTAACACACACACACACACACACACACACATATATATATATATATATATATATTTGTCGGCATACTTATCTATTGGCATTTGCGACAGTATTTTTCTGTGCAGCATGAATTAAACTTATGCAACTTATGCAAATATATAGACATACACATATATACTTATATATAAGCATACATACACAGATATATACACATATAGAAACATACAAACACATATATACACACATATATTTACGCAAACACACGCACATAATATGCACACACACACACATATATATATATATATATGAAGAAATTTTGAAAAAACAAACAAAAATCCTTAAATGTAGTTAAATGAAAGAAATGTCGACGTCTGTTTCATTTTAACTACATTTAAGGATTTTTGTTTGTTTTTTCAAAATTTCTTCATTCTGTCGGATTTATATCCATTTACACTTGCTTATATATATATATATATATATATGCACAAAATAAAAACACTATACAAATGCCAAGTAAGCTTCGTTGTACACAAAAATGAAAGGCAAATTCTCTTTGATTCTTTCAAAAGAATTCCATTTTCTTTGGGTCTACCGGAAACCTGTTCCCGGTCTCACACCCGAGGCATCGCCTTTTGCCTTTGCGTTGCTATTTATTGAATCGGCTTTGATTTATTCCAAATGCTGAATCTCTTTCATAGAATATATTCGAAGATCCATGACTGGTTATAAGCATATTCCAGGATATTCTCGAAGATCCAACAGCCTCCATTCTAATAATCTATCTATAGACATGTCCCCTCAGCTGCTTCCGTGTCTCTGTTCAAGTCGACAGGTACGAGTTCAGTTATGTATCTGAATTTCGATTTCGAGATGGCTAGTTTAGTTTGATTTGATTGACACGTTTTTTTACGGTTTATCAACCCTTACTAATTTACCCATAGCTGGGGGAGAAGTAGATCCATATTTTTTACTGCGAATATAACGATCCCAAACAGAATAGAAAATCATCTCTCCGATTGAAAAATTACAAGCCATTATCCATCACACCACCTGCGCATCCAAGCACCTGGCACCCCCATGCTGTCACTCATTTAGGTACTGACCAGTCTCTATGTTGCTTAACTTCGGTGATCGTATGAGAACTGGTGTTTAAACGTGATATGGCTGTAAACCTGTATCATAAGTTGGAAATCCGTGAACTGAGATCGAATTCCGGTTAAGATCGTTGCATTCACTTTTACACAAATAAACCTCGGTATGTTATTAATCCACCTCTTCTCCCGCCCCCCAGCTGGGGATTAAATAGTATGACTTGTGTCGGTAAAAAAATCATTGTTATCTCAAAAAAAAAAAAAAAAAATTCTTAATGAAAGAAGTCTTACCATATTCTTCGGTGTTAAATAAAGGACAAAGTGTTAAAACTGTGCAAATAGAACCTCAAGCACTGAAAAGAGTTTCTCACGGTCCTGCATCGAAAAAGGAAAACAAAAATTCAGGCCGGGAGCCAAAATACTAAACTCTAAGTGAAAAAGCACATATGGAAAAAATTGGAAATAATTCCATCTAGAATAGGCTCATCAATGCATCCAAGGAAAGTGCCAACATATACTTTTTACATAGGTTCTATAGAATAGATTTTACTAATTTTTATTTATTTTATAATTCTTATAAATAAAAGTTAGAAAAGGATTTTATAGAATAAATAATTCTTATAAATAAAAATTAGGAAAGGATTTTATAGAATAAATAATTCTTAGAAATACAACTTAGAAAAGGATTTTATAAAATAAATAATTCTTATAAATAAAAATTAGAAAAGGATTTTATAGAATAAATAATTCTTAGAAATAAAAATAGAATAAATAATTCTTAGAAATAAAAGTTAGAAAAGGATTTTATAGAATAAATAATTCTTATAAATAAAAATAGAAAAGGATTTTATAGAATAATTAATTCTTATAAATAAAAGTTCAAAAAGGATTTTATAGAAAAAATAATTCTCATAAATACAAGTTAGAAAAGAATTTTATAGAATAAATAATTCTTATAAATAAAATTAGAAAAGGATTTTATAGAATTCTTAAATAAAATTTAGAAAAGGATTTAGAAATAAAAAAGTTCGGAAAGGATTTTATACAATAAATAATTCTTAGAAATAAAAATTAGAAATAAAAGTTCTTAGAAATAAAATTAGAAAACGATTTTATAGAATAAATAATTCTTAGAAATAAAAGTTCGGAAAGGATTTTATAGAATAAATAATTCTTAGAAATAAAAGTTCGAAAAGGATTTATAGAATAAATAATTCTTAGAAATAAAAGTTAGAAAAGGATTTTAAAGAATAAATAATTCTTAGAAATAAAAGTTAGAAAAGGATTTTATAGAATAAATAATTCTTATAAATAAAAATTAGAAAAAAAATTTATAGAATAAATAATTCTTATAAATACAAGTTACAAAAGGATTTTATAGAATAAATAATTCTTATAAATACAAGTTACAAAAGAATTTTATAGAATCCTCCATAAAAATCTTTTCAATACACACTCGAAAAAGCTGACAATTAGATTTTAGTTATATTATACGTGCCTTAGTTAATAATATTTTATCCAAACTCCGGATAAATTCTGGATTTAACCTAGGCTTCAAATATTTAAATTTTCTTTTTGTAGAAAACTTTATAATACCAAGGAACAAAAGTAATTTCTAATTCAAATTTATATAACAAGGTATATGTGTGTAAATTTAATAACTAAATACAACCGCTTTCTTCCCAGCTTATCAAGTTTCATTCTGGGAATTAAAAAGACAAACGTGTAAATTAAGTTATAGGATATGTAAAACGATATATTAAAGAGCTTTCTAGTGAAAATATTACTTTCCTTCATTCCTGAAAGAGATAAGGATATAAACTGGATGTCACTGGACGTTCTACAGAAGGAAAAAGATAACGCAAGCTAAGCAAAATTGACTGGCAAATATATTTTGAAAACGTCGACCAAAATTATGAAAACGATTTATCATCCTCCTCTGCTTTTCTCCAAAACCATTTCAAAAATTATGGTCTGCCATTGTTGTCGGGCACTAGCATTCAACCTGATGATCGATTTAAATTGATTGGCTTGTCATATTCAGCAGACTTAAGCCGCAAGAATTCCCCCTTTTTTCTTGTTGCCAATACAAGAAATGTTTGAATTTGGAAGAATTGTCCAAGAATCTATCTATCTATCTATCTGTTGTGGATTCCGGGATGAAATCCGGTCTCCAATGAATGACAAACGCAGGAATAAAATATAACAAATAAATGTATTTACACAATAATACAATTGGTAATACGGTTAGTAGATCCAGAAACACGGTTAGTAGCAATAGTAATATATAGTATATATATATATATATATATATATATATATATATATATATATATATATATATATATATATATATATATATATACAGTCTGGTAAATTCAGTCTCGAAGTAGGAATTCCTTAGAGTCTGCGTGCTCGCAGCTGTGACTTCTATAAGCGGTTACCTCACACTATTACTCTACCTCCAACTCAATCAGTCTGTCTACTCTCACTACTCTGACTGACTCTGGGTATTTAACGGCAGCAGTCCATGTACACACTGGTCGAGTCCACTTGTATGAAAAAGGGGTGGACCCCATAACACTATCATCATGTTCATATCTATCTCTCATCCTGGTCATATCTATCTATCTATCTATCTATCTATCTATCTATCTATCTATCTATCTATCTATCATCCTGGTCGTATCTATCTATCTATCTATCTATCTTTCTGGTCATATCTATCTATCTATCTATCTATCTATCTATCTATCTATCTATCTATCTATCTATCATCCTGGTCATATCTATCTATCTATCTATCTATCTATCTATCTATCTATCTATCTATCTATCTATCATCCTGGTCATATCTATCTATCTATCTATCTATCTATCTATCTATCTATCTATCTATCTATCATCCTGGTCATATCTATCTATCTATCTATCTATCTATCTTGGTCATATCTATCTATCTATCTATCTTCCTGTTCCTATCTATCTATCTATCTATCTATCTATCTATCTATCTATCTATCTGTCTGTCTGTCAGAGAACTAAAGAAGTCAATGAATATACGAAGCTCTCGAAAACCGAATATAAAAATGCAATGACAACAAAATAAATATTTCAGGTGTATTTTCTTTTCTTTTTTTTTTTTTTTCTTATTCGAAGAAATTGGAACTTCCTGTATCGTTCGTTCCCAGAACTGCTAATTACGTGTGAAAAGAACACATTTTATTGTATTATATGCTTTTGCAAATTCTTACCCTCTGTTATTTATTTTCGACACGAGACAATTCAAGTCGCTTGGCGCCCGTGTTTTTTTTCTCTCTTATTTTTGCAAACGCAAAAAGAAATTCCTACCAAACATCGGTATCAAGTGCAGTTTGTAGAAGGCCTACAACAGGCCTCCGTATTCCATTGTTCAAGGTTTTATCATTCGGGAAGAAGAGGTTAATTATTTGAGCAATGCAGTTAGATGGCGGTCTTGCACAAAGATCAAGAAAAGCCTACAGTATTACATTAAATCTCCGTATTTTTTAAAATTTTGCTTTTGAGTGGATAATATGTTTATTTGGGCTCCGCAATCCGATAAAGTTGGAGGCGACATCTTCTAATGTTACGCGATTATGTCTCCCTAAAATTTCCTGTCCATTGTCTCCTTTAGCATTTTTGTCCCTTTGTTAAGGCTCCTGTCTCCGTTCACGGAAGATTGTTAGGTAGGTGTCTCAATGTCTTCTATCTCTGTTGCCCTCAATATGTCATGTGAGTGTCACGTTTTCGAAGCCCTCATTAGTCAAACGATTTTCAGGTATGTTTTTCTGATTCTAGGATTGTCTTGTTGGAATGGTAAAAGCACCGAGTTCTTGGTTTTTAACGAAAATTACCTGTTTCTTAATGATTTGCTTAACTTTTGGAAGGCAACTTTCGATATTTCAATACCCCTGCGTGCCAAATTATTATCGAGATAACTTTTTTCTAATATTTCAAAAACCGCCCAATCAATTAACACAAAATTTTCACTCAATGTTGGCAACACTGAGCTGCGCAATCACTGAAATTTTCGTACTGATCTGCGCAATGTAAACAAACTGGCGCCATATTTGTTATGCATCAGCAGTCATTTTGACGCCATTTGGTACTCTCCATGGGCCCACTAATATTTTTCCAATGATACCAACCCAGATCATTATGCCTCCACCGCCTTGTTGGCGTCTCAAACGCTGATGGCGATTCTGTCCGTTCATTACCCAGGCTTTGCACCATCTATCTGGCCCATCAGGTGTTGCTCGAGTTTTGTCTGTGAACAAAACTTTAGAGAAGTCAATCTTCATATTGTCCTCGGCCCATTTCAATCGATTTTTAATGGGATTTCTCGTCAACGGAGGCTTCGATACAGGTTTGACTGTTGTTGCTATTTCCCTCAGATACCGACACCGAGTACTTTTAGACACAGTAGGATCCCCAATGCGACCGAAAAGCTCTTGACTGGTAAGTCCAGGGTTCTTCGTGGCCTCTCGTTTAAGTCGTGACATGAGACGACGTGAAATAACCCTCGGCTTGTCTTTATCTGCCCTTTTGCGTACTTGTGTAGGGTCGGCGGTGAACTTTTTCCCTGTTTAATGACACCTCCCTATCATTTTAGAAATTTCTAGGGTAGATTTACCTTTTGAGAGTTCTCAGGTGATAGTTTTCTTTTCAGCATCACTTAAACTGCTTTTACGGCACATCTATTCACTAAATTCTTACACTTTTCTAATAATTTGGCACGCTCAAATCACCGTGCTGATAACAAATGTGGCGCCAGTTTGTTTACATTGCGCAGATCAGTATGAAAATTTCAGTGATTGCGCAGCTCAGTGTTGCCAAAATTGTGTGAAAATTTTGTGTGAATTGACTGGACGGTTTTTGAAATATTAGAAAAAAGGTATCTCGATAATAATTTGGCACGCAGTGTATAGACGATCATGGCTCTCCAAAACCTCCAAACACTTGACCTATCAGCTATCTTTCCCATGTTCCGACATCAATCTACACAAGCTCATCAAGTTTATAACTTGTCCTTCAATATGCTATGTGAGGGTTGCTTT